TTTTGCACATCGAGAGACTGAAATTCTTGCCCATTCTTCCTTGCAAAACAGCTCGAGCTCAGTGAGGTTGGATGGAGAGTGTTTGTGAACAGCAGTCTTCAGCCCTTTCCATAGATTCTCGATTGGATTCAGGTCTGGACTTTGACTTGGCCATTCTAACACCTGGATACGTCTATTTGTGAACCATTCCATTGTAGATTTGGCTTTATGTTTTGGATCATTGTCCTGTTGGAAGATAAATCTCCGTCCCAGTCTCAGGTCTTTTGCAGACTCCAACAGGTTTTCTTCCAGATCCTGTATTTGGCTCCATCCATCTTCCCATCAATTTTAGCCATCTTCCCTGTCCCTGCTGAAGAAAAGCAGGCCCAAACCATGATGCTGCCACCACCATGTTTGACAGTGGGGATGGTGTGTTCAGGGTGATGAGCTGTGTTGCTTTTACGCCAAACATATCGTTTTGCATTGTGGCCAAAAAGTTTGATTTTGGTTTCATCTGACCAGAGCACCTTCTTCCACACGTTTGGTGTGTCTCCCAGGTGGCTTGTGGCAAACTTTAAACCAGACTTTTTATGGATATCTTTGAGAAATGGCTTTCTTCTTGCCACTCTTCCATAAAGGCCAGATTTGTGCAGTGCACGACTGATTGTTGTCCTATGGACAGACTCTCCCACCTCAGCTGTAGTTATCTGCAGTTCATCCAGAGTGATCATGGGCCTCTTGGCTGCATCTCTGATCAGTCTTCTCCTTGTTTGAGATGAAAGTTTGGAGGGACGGCCGGGTCTTGGTAGATTTGCAGTGGTCTGATACTCCTTCCATTTCAATATAATTGCTTGCACAGTGCTCCTTGAGATGTTTAAAGCTTGGGAAATCTTTTTGTATCCAAATCCGGCTTTAAACTTCTCCACAACAGTATCTCGGACCTGCCTGGTGTGTTCCTTTGTCTTCATGGTTCTCTCTGCGCTTTAAACAGAACCCTGAGACTATCAAAGAGCAGGTGCATTTATACAGAGACTTGATTACACACAGGGGCATTCTATTTATCATCATCAGTCATTTAGGACAACATTGGATCATTCAAAGATCCTCACTGAACTTCTGGAGTGAGTTTGCTGCACTGAAAGTAAAGGGGCCGAATAATATTGCACGCCCCACTTTTCAGTTTTTTATTTGTTGTTGAAATTATCCAATAAATTTTGTTCCACTTCATGATTGTGTCCCACTTGTTGTTGATTCATGACAAACAAATAAAATTTTATATCTTTATGTTTGAAGCCTGAAATGTGGCGAAATGTTGAAAGGTTCAAGGGGGCCGAATAATTTCACAAGGCACTGTATGTATATGTGCAAAACCAAGTGAGATTGTCCCCAAAGTACATGACAGAAAAGTGCTGATGAAGAGAACCACCTGCTGTTCCCTGACCTCCACACACAGACCAGCAGCTGTGGCCCAGTTTGAGGCACTCTGAGCTGGGTACGTGTGCAGAGAAGTCCCCCTCAATCAACCACCAGAGAGAGAGAGACTAGAAGGACTAGAGAGAGACTAGACAGAGAGACCAGCGAGACTAAAAGAGCGAGAGACTAGTGAGAGACTGGGAGAACCTAGAGAGACTGAAAGAGAGACCAGAGAGCAACCAGAGACACCAGAGAGATACAGAGAGACCAGAAAGAGATCAGAGAAAGACTGGAAAGAGACCAGAGAGATATAAGAGAAAGACAAGAGAGAGAGACCAGAGAAAGATCAGAGAAAGACTAGAAAGACCAGAAAGATACAAGAGAAAGACAAGAGAGAGAGACCAGAGAGAGATCAGAGAGAGACAAGAAAGAGTACAGAGACTAGAGAGACTAGCGAGAGACCAGAAAGAGATCAGAGAAAGACTAGAAAAAGACAAGAGAGATACGAGAGAGAGACTAGGGAGAGAGACCAGAGAGACTAAATAGCGAGAGACCAGAGAGCGAGACGGGAGAGAACCTAGGAAGACTGAAAGAGAGACCAGAGGGAAACTAGAGAGAGACAAGAAAGAGATCAGAGAGAGACTAGAAAGAGACCAGAGAGATACGAGAGAGAGAATAGAGAGAGAGAGAGACCAGAGGGAGAACCAAGGGAGACTGAAAGAGAGACCAGAGGGAAACTAGATAGAGAAACTACAGAGACCAGAAAGAGATCAGAGAGGGACAAGAAAGAGAACAGAGACTAGAGAGAGACCAGACAGACCAGAGGGACACCACAGAGAAACCAGAGAGAGACCAGAATGAGGCAACCAGTCTCTCTTTACATTATTGCGGAAGTTCCTTATATACTCTTTACTAGCACCAGGGAGGAGCTGAATCGTGGTCTTTTGCCCTCAGCTTCAGCTCTAAGTCTTTCTTGGGACGTTTTATGCTGATGTATGTCCATGTTTTTGCTCCGGGGAGGCCGCTTGGCTCCAGGGAAATGTGCGCATCACTAACACAGAAATACATGCCTGCAGCACCGATAAACATAAAAATGAATCTCACCCTTTAAAACGGGCCTCAGAAAGTTTATGTCGGTCGATCTCTTGGACTGAGCTTTAAATAATTCTAGTTTTTTAAGAGGTAAAGCCTAGATGTATCAGTGTGTGTTCTTTAACCTCTGCTTGCTGCTTATGGGGCGTTTGTGGTTCTCTGTAAAACACAAACTTGTTCTCTTTTCCTCTAAACCTGGAACTCTGCGGTGTCTTTGAACGCCTCTCATGAATACTGCATGTGGAGCAGCACTGACAAACGAGCTCAACCACACTTCATTCCATATGGTTCTCACACCATAGTTATCTGACGGAGTCGATCACAGACGGATACGTGAGGGGAGAGGGAAACCGAGCTGAGGTAGAGGAAGGGGAGAGAGAGAGCAGAGAGAGAGCAGAGAAAGACCAGAGAGAGAGATGGAGCAGAGAGACCAGAGAGAGTAGAGAGAGACAAGAAAGAGACCAAAGAGAGAGCAGAGAGAGAGAACAGAGAGAGAGCAGAGAGAAAGCAGGGAGAGACCAGAGAGAGAGACCCTTGAGAGACCAGAGTGAGACCAGAGAGCGAGAGCAGAGAGAGACAAGAGAGAGACCAAAGAGAGAGCAGAGAGAGAGAGAACAGAGAAAGCAGGGAGAGACCAGAGAGAGAGACCAGAGAGAGCCGAAAGAGACCCCTGAGAGACCAGAGAGAGCAGAGAGGGGAGAGAGAGAGATCAGGGGGAGAGCAGAGAGAGAGAGAGAGCAGAGGAGAGACCAGAGAGAGCCGAGAGAGACCTTGAGAGAGCAAAGGTCTTTTGGAGTTCAGGGGCCACTCCTAAAGACCTTCTATGACTCTGTGGTGGCATCAGCCTCTTGTACGGTGTGGTCTGCTGGAACAGCAGCATCACAGAGAGGGACAGGAAGAAGCTGGACAAGGTCATCAGGAAGTTAGCTCAGTCCTGGGCTGTTCCCTGGACACAGTGCAGCAGGTGGGGGACAGGAGGGTCCTGAGCAAACTAACATCTATGCTGGACCATGACTGTCACCCCCTGCAGGACACTCTCTCTGCTCTGGAGAGCAGCTTCAGTGACAGACTAATTCACCCTCCCTGTGTGAAGGAGAGGTTCCGTAGGTCTTTCCTTCCTGCTGCTGTCAGACTGTTCCTTCAGAATGTCACTTTACTTATCTACTTATTATCCTGCACTATTTAACTGTACAGTATATAACTGCACTACTACTACATATATATATTTTGACTGGTATTGAAGCATTTTCAGCATCTACAGCTAGTTATGTTAGCTAAGAAACATAGCTACTACTTATTTGTATATATTGTGTGCTCCCTGTGTGCTCTTACGTCCTGTATGTGCGCTGCAACATCGAAATTTCCCCACTGTGGGACGAATAAAGGAATTCTTATCTTATCTTATCTAAAGAGAAGAGTGAGACGAGAGAGACCAAAGAGAGAGCAGAGAGAAAGCAGCAGAAAACAGTGTTAGATGAATTCAAATCTTCTAACTGTAACTGTGGAGCAGCAGAGTGAGACGTCTGCTTCAGCTGCTCTTAAAACTCTAATATAGTCAAACACATCTCTAACTCTGAAACCTCGTCTTATCGCTTCCTCTCATTTTTCCCGTTTTCCCGATCGATGGCCGCTGTCGCTGCTGCGTGTGATTGTGGAGGCGGTAATGAGTTCTCCTGTGGCTGCGGCGCAAATATGACACAAAACTCACTTTAAATAAATGTAAATTACACTCGCGGCGGCAGGATCGAGCTTCGACGCAGAGATAAAAATAACTGTTCATTAGTTTGACGACAGATTAAAAATAAATGAGGAGTGAATGATGATTGGGGACAGGGGACCAGCTGCGAGAGCGAGGAATGAGGAATGGAGAAATCCGGGTTTAGACCTGCTTCAAATCAATATGTAATCACATGTGTCGGCCATTTTGGATTTGAGTTCATAATAACTGTATAATTATTGAGCTGTTATTTATCTGTTTACCAGCATCAGTCCTGGGTCTACAGCCTCAGCCAGGACTGAGGTTGTAGAGGCTGAGGCTCTACAACCTCAATCCTGGAGTTACAGCCTCAGTCCTGGGTCTACAGCCTCAGCCAGGACTGAGGTTGTAGAGGCTGAGGCTCTACAACCTCAATCCTGGAGTTACAGCCTCAGTCCTGGGTCTACAGCCTCAGTCCTGGGTCTACAGCCTCAGTCCTGGGTCTACAGCCTCAGCCCTGGGTCTACAGCCTCAGCCCTGGGTCTACAGCCTCAGCCCTGGGTCTACAGCCTCAGTCCTGGATCTACAGCCTCAGTCCTGGATCTACAGTCTCAGTCCTGGGTCTACAGTCTCAGTCCTATTTTGATTTCTCAACTCCATTTGAAAGCAAACAAACACAATTCCATGTTTTTTATTAGTTGAATTGACAAACATTTAAAGCTGAGGAATGTAACTTTCAAGAATGTCTTCACACCATGATCTTGTTGTTTTTCTTCTGTGTTGTAACGTTTTTGTGATCGCGGTTGTGGTTTTATTGGGTTCACTGGTTTTTCTGGTAAGGCGGCAGTCCAAACAGCTCTGGTCTGAAATCCTCCAGGCTGCTCAGAGTCAGGGTGGCGTCCCGGGTCTGGGTCCGGTCCAAATTTGGGTCCGGGACCATGACCACCTGCATGTGAGCAGCCAGGGCAGCTGAGACTCCCAGGGGAGCGTCCTCGAACACCAGGCACTGGAGACACAAGGGGGAGGGGGGGGGTTGTCACTTCCACAGAGCAATGCTAACATAGACTGTTTACAGATGGACAATTCTAACCGGAGAGAGAACAGAGAGAGACAAGAGAGAGAGACCTGAAAAAGAGAGACCAAAGAGAGAGAGAGGCTAGGGATGGTCCAGAGAAATACTACAGCGAGAGGAGACTAGAGAGAGACCAGAAAGGCCAGGGATAGACCTGAGGCCCTGAGAGAGACTAGAAAAAGACTATAGCGAGACCATAGCGAGACCACAGAGAGACCAGAGAGACTAGAGAGAGACTAGAGAGAGACTAGAGAGAGACCAGAGAGAGACCAGAGAGAGACCACAGAGAGACCAGAGAGAGACCACAGAGAGACCAGAGAGAGACCAGAGAGAGACCACAGAGAGACCACAGAGAGACCAGAGAGAGACTAGAGAGAGACCTCAGTGAGTCCAGAGAGAGACCGAAGTATAAGTACATGTGGCAAGCTGGACTTGCCACAATAATTCTGTCCAGTAGAGGGCGCATACTGACAGTATAAATAGCCGCGAGTCGTCTTTGTTTACATCTGCACTTCCAACCCCGGTGTCGTGTTGCCCCAGCCTTCTCCTGCTTCAGGTAGAAGAGTTCTACTGTGCACGATACAATCCAGAATGTACAACCACTAACATTAATGTTGCTTCAGCGAGTCCTGTTTATATACATAGTTCCCACAGACCAATGAATGTCACATGACCTCCTCGGAGACGCCATCTTTGATGGCACGCTGCTGTGTTTGTGCATTCCATTAAACAGAAGAATGAGAATAAATGTAGATATTCAAACGCAAATTGGAAAAAAAGGGCAACTTTTGAGCAAATAATTGTATATTAATACAATGGCACCACAGTTTAACGTGCTACGGACATGTTTTACATATTTGATCAAATTATGCAGCAAAAATTAACAAGCAATGCAAACATTTCTCAAAAACTTTAGATTTAATACCAGTTGGAGCTCCATTTAATTATTTTAATTATATTAACAATTAATTTAATTAATGCTAATGCCACACGGACACTCTGGATTGCTGTTATTGTTTATTTCCGCGTTTTTGACCGTATGTTTTGGTGAATGGTGGGCAACTGATTTTTCCAGGCGTAAAGAGCAGTTTATTTTATGACACAGATCTTTTTACAGAAGCAATGCTGTTTGTGAACATTGTTTTAGCCCACCATAGAACTATTATTATCTATTTAATACATTTACGTTGCCCTCGAGAGCCTCGGACGCGACACCGATCCTCCTCATAATAAAGTAATCTAAATAATGAAACTCTCAAGTTACCAGATATCAGCATACACAAGTTAGTACTGAGTAAATTACGTTTGTCAACACATTATGAGATACGATACGCACCTGACACAAAGTGCTCCGAGCATATTCTTGCGTGTTTTGAGGGAGTTTCTTGCCTGTTTATCTTCGCAAGCCATAACCTCAGTGGTTGTTCTGACAAAAGCTTAGTCTTCTCACATTCATGAAGTCTAATGATGGGTATACTGTAAAATCCAAGTTTAACGGAACCTCCGGCACGATTTGAACATCCATTGACCCAGCAGGAGATGACCATTTTCAACTTTATCACGACATTAACACGTTTCAGCTTCTTTTTCTATTGTTTTGCCCACAGAATGCCAAGACAAATGGCGCCGGGTCGGCAAATCCCCGTATGTAGTGACGTCATGTGGGAACTATGTATAGCCATGCTGTCCTGTCGCTCTGGCGTCTGGCCGCACTCGTTGCTGGGGTCCAAGCGTTTCGTAGCCGGTTGTGGGTTTGGGTCAGACCGTCACCCGTCAGGTGTGCGTGCTCAGCATTCGCTCTGAAGCTGGGGACTGGTCACATCGCAGCCCACCACCGTTTCTCTCCCTGTTCTATCGTGTTTCTTTGTGTGTTCACCTGTGACGGGAAGATACACATCCTGAGCTAAGAAAACTGAACAATACATCATAACGTAATAAATTCAAGAAACTTCATGTCTGCCTACGCCTCTAATTAGGATTTAACAAACCTTTTTTATTTATTTTGGCCACCCTTGCCCTGGCTCTGTTGGTTTTTTCTTTCTTTTTTATTTCAATAGTTATATTATTTTATGAGCGCGTAACCACCTCTGTGCACAGATTGTTCCCACTCGTAACTATGGTACAGTCATCAGCAGAGGCCAAAACTACAGCTTCACAATCACATAGAGCTCAGCCATGCGTTCGTGCTCCGATGCTCCAACTACAGAAATAAAACAGGCAACACGTCCTTCCTCTTGTACTTCTCCACTTTCACTTTTTCTCCTTAAAATCACGACAAAATGAGAAAACAAGCTCCTCTCGAGGCGCTTTGGTCGCACTGCGTTCGTGTGGAATTGGCTTTTGGAGCGAGATGACTTTGTAAACTCAATCTCCGCAATGGGAACAGAAACGCACTCTTGCATTGGGGGCGGTGGGGGCTCAAACTCAAACACGGAGCGTCTCTGAGGAAACAGGTTTCTCTCTGGTCTCATCATGGATTCAGCTCCCACTGCTCCACCTGAAGTAACACGCGCTGGAAGAGACTCATGAAAAAGGCAAAAGGGAAAAACCACGAACGGAGACGCAGCTTTTTAACAGAAAAACCACATGAATTTGTAAAAACGCGAGCGAGGGTTTTCTGCAGTGGTGTTTGAACAGAGCGAGAAAATGTGTGGGTTTCAAATGCAAGACTGAAATTAATAAAAAAAGAAGGAAAAATGTCTGTGTACAGTCTCGCAGTGACTTCAAAAACATAATTCATGATGTGTTACTTCAATATTACTGTCTCTGTGTAAAGCCTTACTCTACTACTGCATTACTTTGCTTTTCAATATTTAGAGAAAGTAACTTCAAACTAAATGTAGCTTATGAAGCTCGAGCCTGAGGTTGACAGAGCTTTTGGTTTGAACATAAAGTCACTTTACTGTATTATGTTCCACATCTTTGTCTCTAACAAACTGTCTGTCCGTAAAATGTGCTGTTGTCCATGTAGTGTCTGCTTCTGCTTCAGCCTCAGCCGTCTTCAAGGAACAACACTTTCAGTCAAAACTATTGGAGCAGATGTGTTCTAATGCTAATTTCATGGTGTGGAGGATAAAAACAAAACACTGTAATTTTGGGTTAAAATACAAACAATAATAATGCATTGTTTTACATAGCGCTTTTCAGGACACTCAAAAACTCCTCACATGTCATTATTCATTCACTCCAAACACAATGGTTATAAACTACTAGTGTAGCCACAGCTGCCCTAGGGCACACTGACAGAAGCGAGGCAACCAGTCCAAATACCACCAACCACTGACACACACACCAGACTCATTCTAATGTGGGTGAAGTGTCTTGCCTAAGAATACAACCACAGTTTTTGCACTTTACAGCCGCAGCCTGCGGCACCTGCTGTTCCCAGAGGTCTCCCATCACAGCATTAACTTTTTTGGGAAGGCCTTACATTACTGCAGTTTATGTTAGCATTGTCCATCTGTATACAGTCGATGTTAGCATTGTCTATGGTACGTGCTCTAAAAGCTCTAATTCCAGGTGTGAGAGACGATTCTTTGAAGTGACATCGTCTCTGGAAGCAAACAGACGCTGCAAGGTCAAGCTCAGAATCTTTTCATTTCCTTCTTAAAAAGACACATTCAAACTGGTTTAATTTCCACCCAGATGGAATCTTGCCGTAATGAAGTGAGCGAAACACGTCTGCTTTGAGGAAATGCCACCAGATTAAAACCGGACTCAAAATAACCCGGATTAGCAGCAGTCTGAATGAAATCTGATCCCAGGAGGCGGCCATTTTGAACAGAGCGCTTTGAAACAGAAAGTCAAAGCGATAAGGTGCAGAATTCTGGGTATTTTTAGTGCTTGTGCGAATGGAGCAAAGGCTGCGTGGGAAAGAGACCAGAAAAAGACCAGAGAGAGAGGCCTGAGAGAGACTAGAGAGAGAGAGAGACCAGAGAGATACCAGAGAGAGAGAGAGAGAGAGATACCAGAGAGAGAGAGAGAGAGAGAGAGAGACCAGAAAAAGACCAGAGATAGAGGCCTGAGAGTGAGAGACACCAGAGAGACTAGAGAAAGAGACTTGAGAGCGACCAGAGAGAGCCAGAGACGAGTGAGAGACCAGAGAGAGACCAGAAAGAGAGACCTGTGAGCAACAATCCCTCACAGACCGAGGTAGAGAGTTCCAGTTTCTTTGCACTAAAGGGGAGAGCAAAGTACATCTATAGTCCCCTTCTCATCTCTTCTCTCTCTCTCTCTCTCCTCCCTCTCATCTCTCTCTCTCTCTGTGTGCTTGTGCTGTTGACTCAGAGCAGTTAATGAACCCAGACTCTCGGCTTCAGTCTCTCATTTCAAACTGCATCCCGCCACAAAGCAACGCTCTCTTTGTTCAGGGGACTTTTCTCTTATCGGCACTTGGCAAAAACACATGTTCCAACTTCTCCCTCCCCCTTTGTCTCCCCAGCTTCCCCTCTGTGTCTCCCCCGCTCCCTCTTTACGTCTCCTGTGTGCGTGAGGAGGATTAAGTGGTCACTCCACTTCACTTACGCCTAATTACTCTCTTTAATTGCCGGAATCGGAGACATGCAGCTCCCTTGTTGCCTGCGGCGATATTGTTCGACAGTTTTCCTCCCTACAGGACCAGCCGCACCTCTCTCACCTGGTTTCTCTCTCTCTGGTGTTTCTCTGGTCCTACAATGGTCTCTCTCAGATCTCTCTCCCTCTGGTCTTTCTCTGGTCCTACAATGGTCTCTCTCAGATCTCTCTCCCTCTGGTCCCCCTCTGGTCCCTCTCTGGTCCCTCTCTGGTCACTCTCTGGTCCTACAATGGTCTCTCTCTGATCTCTGGTCCATCTCTGGTCCATCTATGGTCCATCTATGGTCCATCTATGGTCCATCTATGGTCCATCTCTGGTCTCTCTCTGGTCCTACAATGGTCTCTCTCAGATCTCTCTCCCT